TGCTGGACTTGTCATCACATTGTCATCGCTTCCTGCTGTGCAGGCTATTGTGGGCTTATTTCTATGCAAGGCTTTTTTTTTGTTCCAATCTTTAATAGGTAGAAATAAGTCCGTTTAGTTGCATGCTGCTTGTAAAAGCCAATGCCTTGCAGAATGGAGCTGCTGTGTTGCAAGCTTTGAGGGGTGTGTGTGTGTGTTTGCGTTGTTCAGCTTGGGTGCTTTCTCTGTCCATAGAGCTACGAGCATGGGGGGAAGGTTGTTTTTCAAAACAGATAAACTATGAATCTTGCAATACTTAATACTTTTGTTAGACAGTATATTGGATAGTGGGTATGTCTTGGGTAATTAATTCTACTCTTGATGAGGAGCTTATGTCCAAAATGCATACAAACAGTTACAGGGATGAATTAGGTGGGGGGAAAGCAGTCAGGAAAAAAATCATGATTCTGTCTCCGAAAGGGCAAAAAGCCCAAATGGTGTCTAAAAATGTCTTGCTGTGCTATACACTATACAAGAAAAATGGAGAAAAAAAAATTATAAAAAAGGATCGTCTTGGATTCAAAGGTGAATCGAAAGAAATTGGCTTCAGTCTGGACAAGGCAGCCAGATAGGCCACAGTAACAGATCCACGTGACAGACCAAGAGGCAACTGCAGAGCTCCCCAGACAACTCGCCTGAAGTGCCTGCCAAGGAGGCAGATGCTGCTGCTGGAAGAATATCTTCCACAGTTGGGCATCTGGGTTCAGTGCTTTCCACGTAAGGGAGAGTGATGGTTGCATCAGGCTGGCCCCGTCTTCCCGTTTAATTATTTCCACATCCATTTTATACTTTTGTAAATAACATGTATTATCCTGTTCTGTGCAGGAGAATAATAAGCAAGGCGAGGGCTTTTGCCTGCAGTGCATCCCTTTGCAGAGGTGCCCACATGGATGTGTAAGGGCAGTCTCCAGCTTGGCTGCCCTGTGCTCCAGCCTGGTCAGATGTGAGACAGCTCGGGCCTGGGAGCCGCAGAGCTGCCTCGTGGTGGCACGGAGCTCAACCTAATAAGCAGAGCAGGCTGAGATTCATTAATTTAACATTAATAAGCACAGCTTATTAGCTCAGGCACAGCACTGTGTAATGCAGGCACACAGCTCCTGGAGCAGAGCTGCGGCCAGTGCGCCAGCTCGGAGCACAGCTCACGGGGCTCAGCCAGGCGCCCGCAGCCACCACCTCCCCTCACGCATCTTGCACTGGGGGAGAGAAGGTCTGGGGCTCTCTGCAGAGGATTCCATGCAAAAAAAAAAAAAACCAAAAAACCCAACCTTCTCTAGGCTTTTCAGTTATACTGCTGGTTTATGCAGAGTCTTTAAGTCTTTTAAGCTCCTAGCGTCTCCTAAGAGGTGTGTGATAGCTGTTGTAAAAATGGGTTAGGTGCTGATCATAGAATGCTGTGAGATCTTTAAAGAGGGAAAAGTCCTTCTGACTCAACTGAATTATAGTTATGAGAATAAATTATCGCTGACAATATTGTCCTATTGGGCAGGGATGGATTGTTCTCTGTTCACATCTGTGCACAGAGACACTGCAAGGTTTTTGCATCATCCCATGCCCTGTGTATGCCTGCAAAATAGGAGCAGAATGGTCTGTCACTTTTATCTGGTAGCTGTGGTTAGCTCACTCTGTCTGGGAGTAAAAACCACTTGTAAATAAGTACTGGGGAAGAGCTGAGTCCTGAGGAAATGTGACTGTTTCACAAATGTATAGAACATAAACATATGGCCTGTATACTCAGGTAAAGACTCCAAGCATTCTCAAATAGAACAGGCTGCTTTATGTTGCCCTTATTTGAAAAAATGCTTACTCTTTTTATTATTATTATTATCATTATTATTAGTTTACTTTCTTCTTTCATGTATTTTGTAATGTTGGATTTGGTCATCTTCAGGAAGAGGTCATAAAAACCTAATAGTAGCTGGACTCAATTATTTTCAGCATGAATCCTAACAAAGCAGTTTGTTATATTAGACTGGAAAGAGCCATACAATAAATCTGTTCAGCTCCGTATTTTCTCTTCTGTTTATATGACTGGCGGTATACATTTCATGCAAAAATGAATAGCAGACTTTTTTTCATCAAATTCAAAATACTCAGAAGAACAGGTACTGCAACTACAAGCATTTAATCCTTCTCCTGGCTTCATATATTACACTGTGGCTTCTTGCAACTTCTGAAGGCATGGCTTAAGAAATATATATGCTACTGATGTTAATCCCTGCTGCCAGGCCTTTCTCTTACTCTCTCATCAGTTGCTTTGTCTGGGTTTCTAAAGAAAGATCCACCTGAAGTGCATTTACATGTGCTTAATCTGGACTGCTTCTGCAGACTGAAGCACTGCAGAATGGGACCATAGTGCATCCTTGTTGTAATCTGCAATTTAGGATAAACACAGCATTCTGGGCTAAAGTTGATTTCTCATGCTGAACACCCACTTGCCACAGAAACAGCGTTAACTCAGGTCCTTCATCTGCTCCCATGAGAAACCCCTTGAAGATGAGTTCCACCTTCGGCAAGAACTACTGTCTGCACAAGCAAATATAGAGACTGCAGTAACATGCCTCAAATTAAACAAGTTTACTTAGTTTTTTCAAATATTTGGCAACTAGAACTTCCTCTGATTTAATAATATAAACAACTTGCCACTAATAGTAATGCACGTATGTTTCTATATTCCCATTTATGGAGCCATGGGGCCATTGTGACTTGTCTTTCTTAATTATTAATTCAAGGGAACATTTTAGCTTTTCCCTATTTTTTTATATTTAGAATATCTATTCTGCTACTACTGACAGGGAAGAGTCCTCTTCTTCCCTGGGGATGTGTTTGTGTGGCATAGGAGACTGGCCTCCTTCAGAGAGACTTAGGAGATCCCACCCATAATGCTCTGATGGCTTAAATACTACATCTTTCTACCCTACATCACTGTGTGACTATACTGCATTGGCAAACCTTTGTGTTCACCATGCTTTCTGCAGTGATACTTGGATAAGAACGTGTGCTTATTTATGCAGTACATCCACGAATCCACACTCCCATCAGCAGTCAAACCAGATATTGTGAATATATGCATGATGAAATATTGGTAATTCATTATCTCAGTTACAAGAAGTATCTTGTTTCCTGCCCTAGCCCCAAGGGAAAAAAAAAAAAAAAGAAGAAAAACAACAACAACAAAAAAACCCATGCCAAACAACAGCAAAAGCCCAATACACCAATCTTGGTCCAGTTTTGCCAGTTATTCTATACATACACAGTTAGAGAAAATTGCTGTCCCTCATAGATAATGTTTTAAAAAGCCAATATAGACAAATGAAGCATTATCATCATTTTGTAAACAAGGAGCCAAGGCACAGAGAGATTAAATGATTTACCCAAGGTCACACCAAATATCCTCTCAAAGCCAAGAACTGAACCCAGGTCTCCAGAGTATCAATCAAGTGATTTAACTGTAAGATCAAAGACTTGTTGTGTATACCTGATATCTTTCCCCTAAAACATAGTAACAAAACTTTCTTCATGTAAGGATAGATGCCACGTTTGATGCTGTAAATTTTGTATATGGTATAGGTCCAGTGACAGCCTGTACCCACTTCTTGCTCACAGGCTTTTCCCAAGAAATGATTTTCCATATTAGTCCTCCATTGACAGTAATAAATTATCATTTTTCTCCAAATAACCCTCAAAAGGAGAGAATATGTGCACAGGCTACTGCAGATGAATACACAGAAAACGTTTTTCGGCAAGGGCAAACTAAGTCCTTCTATGGCCTGTTTAAAATTTTTCCATCCCTAATTAAATAGGGACATTCCCACAGCTATATGGACTTCATTTTGCCTGTTCAGCTGGATGCTACACGACAAGTTAAAGGATCTTTAATATATACGTGTCAGGAGAATGCAACAGAAATGGTCGGCATAAAGGCATCATTCATTTTAAGCTTGGAGTAGTCTTTTATTTGCAGTCATTCATTCATTTTGTCAATCCTGGCATGAAATGCTTCTCTGTGTACAGAGACTGCACTGGTCCCTCAATCCTGCCTAGTCCCTTCGATTTTAAGGGTTGTTTGGCTAAAAAGTAACTGTGCCAAAATGGCACTAGTTAGTCCTAAATACCGGACAGCCAAGAGGGAAGGAACAGCATCATGTCCTTCATATGCTTATAGGACCACAAGACCCCCTCTTGTGGTCTGCCATTTCTGCACAGTCATTCATCACGTAAAACAGCTGCAGGTCTGTTTCCACAAGAGCATGTGGTCTATATTCATTTTTACTGTTAACGCTGCAAAACATGAAAATCAAACCCAAGGTGAACATGAGATCACGAGTAGACTTCGTGGGCTGAAACCTCTTAAAAACTGAACTCAGTAAGTGTGGAAACTGCAGAGGAATCACAAGGAGGAGCCTCACAGTATAATTTCTTTGCCTCTTGTCATATCTCAGCAACATTAGTAGAGGAAAGGTGTACTTCCGAGTCACTCTTCACTACTTCTTAGACATTCTGTGCTGTTACAAGATTCTTCAGGTAATACAAGAGCTCATAGCATATTTTTTTTAGGAAGTATTTTTCTGTTAATGCATGCCTCAGCATATCATGAGTGCTAGAAAGCAAACTGAACATCAAGGACTGGATGATGAAAATATGTTGATCCAAAAGCAATTCCAACTGCAGTTGGAGTAAGTCAGACTTGCACACTGGAACATGGTGAATTTGCCCAATTCAGCATTCATGAGTAATTCTGATCTATCTAACTGCACCAAGGGAGGAAAAACTGCAGCTTCTGCTTAGACATACCAATGTATTGAGCAGAAATAGGATATACGTAGGTACCATAAATCATGTTTCGTTTTGCCAAAGAACGTAATTATCTTTTGTATTTTGGACGACATTTCCAATAAGATTTGGACACCACACAGAGATTCCTTTTAAAATTATCAATTATTTTGTACTACAGTTCTACTTACTTCTTTAGATGCTCAAAGAGGACTTCCATGGTGTCATAGTTTGGCCTAGGGAGCTTTTTTACCAGGGTCTTTACGGCTTTTATGCGTGTGGCGTTGTCTTGGATTTCTAAGAGGAAAGAAAAGAGAAAAAATATTTTGAGTGCCATTTAGGATAGTACTTTGCCTAATACTGCATCTGGTATCTTAACAAGAAAAGCCATAATTAATATGTGGTTAAAAACAGAATGTATCATACCTTCCATGTTCTTAATTGAGAGCAAGAGTAATTTACAATGATTAAAAGCCCTCTACATCTAAAGGATGGTTTGCAGAATTACATTTTTATGCTTTTATTAGACTATTAAACTGTCAGTGTAAGTTTAATATCTCCTAGTAGTAGTAAGAGACCCACAACTTAAGTGAAATTTCACTTTGGAATTACATTCATCCAGTGATCCAAATTCTGCAGTGGACACTCTTCTAATGTAGTCCTTGTTTCCTTTATTCTCATCATAATTAACCCAGCTGTATTTATGAATTTCTATCACTAGCATTACACCTTATTGTGTTTGGAAATATCAAATATTTTGCTATTCATTTTACTCATACTTTCTTCATTCATACACATACAAAAGAATTTATCAATTCTTTTGAGAAACTATTCCGCTGCAACTTTTCAATAAAAACTCATTTTTATTTTACTCTATTTTACCTTTCGCTGAGGAAAGCTTAACGGATTTCAATGGGATCAAAACACTGGGACTGGGACAAAATTCACAAGGATACACTCACAATTTGTTCGTACAGAATATGTGTGAGGAAATTTAGTATGGTAAGAGCTTATTACGCTCTTTTTAAGCAAGTGTCTGCGCTCTCTGTGCTGATTAAGAAAGATATCAGGTTAGTTACCAACTTCCCTACAGATTCTCGTAAGATTTAATTGCAAAATGAATAATAAATAAAAACCAATGTCATTAAAACAAAGACAGTATTCCGTGAGATTTACAAAGATATATAACTTCATTTTACATCTCACTGTACCAATGCCGTAGGTATTGCCATAGAGGAAAAGAGAGATTTAGCTCTGCACTGAAGAACAGAATACGTAGAAATCATACAAAAAATCATTTTGCAAATCAGCCTATTTGTTAATTGTTAGCCTATTTTAAAAGAAGAAAAACAGGCAACATGTGGTAACTTTAGTCAGCATTTCTGAACCGAGAATGATAAACACCTCTGCCTGGCTCTGGCATTTATCAGTACTGAGATATTATTACCACGTAGAGTCACAGCATGGTTACTGTTATCATCAAATAAAAAAAAGAGCCAGCTAATCTTAATGGTTTGTAAAGCCGTTACCTGCACTGGTCTGACATTTATCATGATCATTTTACCACATGAGTCCTACATTGCAAAGGTATTTTATCTGGAAGGGACATCACTATGAATTATTATTTGCAGCTAGGTAGAAAATTGTATGTTGTAGATACCTTTTCTCATTATAAATCACAGTCACATTTCAACATTTCCCACACAAAGCTGCTGAGCCCAGGCTTTTTGCCATAACACTTATTCTCACTCCCTTTTATAGTTCCACGAAAATACTGAGTACTCTTTCATTAAAATGGTTGATACTTTTTGTTTGTTTGTTTTTAGATGCTATATACACTTTTTATCTTTATTTATTTATTTTTTTTAGTATAAAATAATTTCTTTTTCCACATGAGAAAGTGAAGAGGACAAACTGTTCTTTTTATCCCTTTTTTTTTAGTTATTCTTTCTTATTTTTTTTCATTAAAGCTTACTCTCACTTCAGTTTAATGGCTGAGCTTGTCTTTACTCTTGACCTTGTTGATGGAATATTTAACAGATCAGATGCAAGATCTTATGTTTCAGTTTCAATACCTATGCAGTTGCTTTACTTCTATAAAGCCCCAGTTTCATAGAAATTTTCCCCATTCAGTTCCCTAAGTAGGAAGGTGGAAAGTGATTTTTTTTTTGGGGGGGGGAGGGGGGGGAAGAAAAGAGGGGGAGAGCTGTTTCTTTACCATTCTCAAATGGAGGGGGTAAATCTTTAAACATGGATTAGTATAAATAGCCATGGAGAAGGCTTTGCCCTCTGTGCTATGCCATGAAACCTAGAAATACGTCGTGCAAAGGCAGGAAAACACTCTGAACAGCTGCTAAATTCTCCAGCTAAGTCTAGGAAATGAAACAGACCAGTTTTGATAAAGTGAAATGCTATCTTTCATTATACTCTATTATTGTGAAAATTGATGAAATTCTGGGGAAGATTCCCATTTATGGAAGTTAGACTCTTTGTGAAGATTTCAGAAGGAAAATTGTAGTCACGATCACTTTTGTAAAATCAAGAATGAGAGGACACATTCTTTTTTGCATTTCTTTTAGAAATTTGTAGGAAATTTGTAGGTGATAATTACAGCAGATACTCTACAGTGAACACAGATGGCATTCTATGTAATATTTTCATAGAACGTATATTTAGAATTTAGGTTACTGTCTTTAAAAATAGGGCTGGCTTCATTTAACAGAGCAACACAGTGGAGATGCTCTCTTGTTTATATTTAAATAAAGAATGCATTGAAAGAACACTTAATATTATATAAGCTCTTTTGCAAATGAGCTTTGGATAAACATTTGAGCATAGAAGAAAACACGATGTGTCTGTAACATTAACAGTGGCTGGTTAAAAATGAATGAAGAAAGTAACCTCTAGCACTCGTGTCCATAAAGAATACTTAAGGAAATCCCCCAGAATCTTTCTTTTAATCATTAATTTTAAATGGACATAGATGTTTACAACAAGCCACTTTGTTTCAGAACAGGAAGTCCAGGGTTTATCTCCAATAACTCACGTTTGCTAGGAAGGGATGTATGTCTCTAACCTGACATGCATTCATTATTTTGTAAGGTACTGGAGTCTGACCCATGACCCTCCTCAGACCTGCTGCATTATTCATGTCTGATTTACTTTGTATAGTTTTACCCATTTCCCTTTACCAGGCATTTCAGTTGCTCGTGCATGTTTAATGTTAAATGGCATTTATGGCTCACATTAATGCCTAATTTTATCACGAGCCATGGTTTCTTTTTATGCTCTCAAGCCTCACATCTGAACTGCTGGAAAAAACAATGATTTACGATTCTGCATAAAATATCAAACTATTGATTTGTCATCCAATCTTTTTTTTTCTTTTCTTTTTTTTTTTTTTTTTGTCTTTTCAGTAGCATGCTTTTCTTGTTTTCTTCCAGGGCTCTTCTCACCTTGCTTCGTTTTTTTGGAAAAGACTTCTACTGCAGTTAAAACGTCATACACTGTTGCTACAGCAAAATCTGCCAGCCAAGAGTTTTTTCCAACATTTTGTGACTGATTCAGCTGCTGAGAGAAAGACAGACCTTGTTTGGGGCTTTTTTGATTTGTTTCTTTATTTCTTTCTTCTCTCTCTTTTTTTTTTTTTTTTTTTAATCGGGACTGAGTGGCTTAGGTGGATTTTTGAGTGCTAATGAAATTGTGAGACTTATGGCGCTGGCTACAGCCAGCCATAGTGTGGGCAGACGCTCTGTGAGCTTCCCCACTGTGCTGCTGTGCAAGCATCCCCGCTGTTCTGTTTGCTATAGTTTTAATGTCTGTGAAAAATTCCTGATGCAACTAAATTATGTTCTGCCCTCTTGTTTGTATAAATAAACACCCGACTTAGCCAATTCATCTCGCTCTTGCCCATTTTAAAAGCTGGCCCTGACACACTATGCTTAACCCCAGTCCTTGATAGCTTTGGTGTTATCAGGGAGTGAATATTTGCTTAAAAGACAGTGTAGTTTTGGCTTGATGTTTTTTTCAGGGATGTCAACTGGCCCAAACTCTTCCTTCAGTGGGTAAATCTTCATATTCTGCAAGTCACGCTGGGTAAAATATACAGACATGTATGTATATATATCTCTATATAAAAATTATTTGTAATACTTTCAGTGCCAGGATTTTTTAATATTACTCTATGCAGCATAAAATTCCCAGTTTTAATCTCGTGTCATACACTGAGGCAATTGTCTCATTGAGAGATACAGAGATACACTGTAAAATATTTTCTTGCTTTAAAAAAAAATCTATAAAAAGTGTTTGAACTAACTAATGTTTGCTATAAGGAAAATAACCAATTTGTGATCTGAATTGATTTTACTTTTTATTAATGCCTCAGAAATAGATGTTGCAAAAGAAAATGAGAATTGCGTGAAACCTCTCTGTATGGGAAACTGATAAATTCATCCTATGTGATATAAAGTGGAGTTTACAATGAATATTCATATAACTTTTGCAATCCATTAGCAAAACCCAGGACAATGAGTTTGCAACTCAGTCCCATTTAACAAAAATATATGTGGAATTAATGGGAGAAAAACAGCACTTACAAAAGTTAAACTTTAATGTATCAAACTCCAGGTGCCAGAGTTTGAGGGAAATAACCAATAACAGTCATTTTTTACATATTTGATGGGACTGATTATGCAATGTGCAACTCTAAATGGCTTATAGCACATTGTAGCATGGTTCCATCCCATTGGCTACAGTAGGGTGCAGGCAGATGGATGACAGTGACAAGGAGAGAAGTGCTTTTGCTTAGCCGTGCGTTAAGATGCCATCCAGAAGCTCTGTGCACTGCAGACACTTCATTAGGATGCCAGGATAATGGTAAACTACCACTCAGAGTGACACCCCATTTCCTGCTTACTGAGCTCTCCAACCTCGGCAGATGTCAACAATCTCACAGTGCTACAGAGCAGACCTAACTTTCCAGGCACTTTGACTCCAATTTTTTTCCCTTAACAGTGCCATACATTACATGCAATATGTAACAGCAAGTACCAAACAGAAAACAAAATTTGCTGCCCTAATTATAACAAAGCGGCATCTGACTTAGGTACTGCATGCCCAGCGTACATATAACCGGTTAGGCAGCGTAGAAGAGGAATGATCTTTGTCAGTCAATTTTGGGGGTTAATTAGACTTAGGACTTTGATAGCTAATGGTTTGTCTGATCCCAACTGGAACAGTCGTGCTTTGCTGCTAACTTCTACCAAGCGTCGGGAAAATGTGCCGAGCGCTTTCCTGGT